TAGAGATCTCCTCCAGCCTTGAGGATTTTATGGTTCTATGAATTGTTAACTGTTTGGAGAGAGTTGATATCAGCAGTCTGTCCCTGCTGCAGCTGTGGCAATAACCTCTTCTATTCCAACCTCATCTCATTCTGGTTGGCGACTTTGCAAGCATTTCATATCAATTTGACACTTATTTAACAGACATATGATTAGTCCCACAGAATTTATTGCAATAACCATATGTATCTTCTAGGTTAACTTTGTCATCTTCTTAAAAATTCTCAGGATGCTGATTTCCAAGCTAAAAGCTCAACAAATGAGCTTTCATGACTACAAATACAGGTAACAATCAATAACACAGCAGTCCCTCTTTTTGGTTTCCTCTCAATATCAGAAGGTTGCCAGTTTGCCCTCAAAGATGTAACAGATACTCTGAGTGTGATATAGGAAAGCCACATGGGGAAACAGTCTCCACAGGTGTTTCTTTACCTGAGAGGTCAAGCCCCTGTGTGCTAAGTCTGGTGAGGTTTTGGAGTGAGGTGACATCTCTGCCCTCCCACCTGTGGCCTCAGCTGCTGTGACATATCTCCCCCTTGAATGTGACAAAAGACCAAAAGCAAAGGGAGTGTAGGAGATTTGTGGGACATTCCCCAGTGACATTAGTGTTTCTGGTCAACCTTTTCCAACAGAACCTCCTCCTTACCCTGCACTCTCAGAAGCCTCAACGTGGCTCTCCTGGAGGAGTCTCAATGGGATATCATTGATGTAAACTCCTGAGTTGATGTTTTTCCAACCAGCTCCCCACTCAGTGGGAGCAGATAGGGCAGGATGCTCTGCAAGGAGCTGAGACTGCAGTGCAAACCTGGAAACAATGGAAACATGAAGATTTGTTAACTGCTTTCCATATCCCAGGCCTTTCCAGTTCTTAGTATCTTTAATCGAAGCACTGTGAGCTCCTGGTTGTTGCTACAGTCCTGCCTTACTATGAGGAATTATTTTGTGGTCTCAAAGGAGCAGGCAGGGGGAAGGGGAATGGAAATTCCACTGCTAACTTCCTATTAAATTCCAATATTACACACCTAACAAAGAGTGTATTTCCATTTTCCTTCCACATTCAAGGGCCAAAATACCTCAGCTGTATTCCCCAGGTTGCTGCAGGAAGGTGGTTGTGGTGAGAGCCACAGACAGCAGTGATGTATTTAACAGTGCCTGAAGTTTTGTGTCGTATTCCACTTTCTGCTGCTTAGAATTTTGCTAAACTAGCAAAGATTCAAGTTACTCCTCACAACGAAAATCATCCTCAGAACTCTCTTTTGAGGGCTCTTCTTTCATCCACATAAATGTGTCCCCAGATTTGTTAAAGAAGATTCTCTTCCTTGAAATCACTTTGGTTGTGTTTTGTAAGAGCAGAGAACTCTGACAGCACAGGAACTCTCAGTGCAGCCACACAGTGTTTTCAGCAGCGATAGGAAGGTCTAACCCTGGGACTAGATCACTCATATTTAGCTATGTAAATATTTTTCTCTTGACTAACAGCCTAAGTTTGATGACAGTTGCCTTCCTGTTCCATTCCTTGTCCCTAACTTTTCACCTCAGACTCCAAGCCAAGATTCCTTCCTGTACAGACCTTTCTGATAGTCTGTTCCAAAACTCCTATCTGGGGATTTAGTCTAAAAAATCACAGAACTGCTAACACCATTCCAGAGTCAGAATACTGAGTGAATGTTTCTGGAATCATTTCTTGGTAGCTGAATGTTTGATTTTTGGTGATTAAAAATGCAATAATCAAATAATTTTCTTGTTAAGATTGGCAAGATCTACACTTGTGCTGATTCCACTGCTGGGGATCCATGAATTTGTGTTCACCTTCATCACTGATGAACAGGTGGAAGGACTTTCAAGACACATCAGACTTTTCATCCAGCTGACAATGAGCTCGTTTCATGTAAGTACTGTTTTTCAAGTACTGTTTTTAGGGGTCAGAGATCCATGTACACATGTTGCTCACCATAGATACCACAGAGAATTCACAACCTACAATGTGTCTAAATTCACTATTGCAGTGCCAAGATAAAACATTCCCAAACTGCATAGCCAAACTCCTCAAAAAGGAGTCTGACACCTTCAGGATATGTCCTGTACCCTCTGGTAACAGGTGACAGCTCATCACAGCCCCCTGAAAACAGGGTTCAAGGGATCTATTTGAAACACTCCTCCCCGAAATCAGAGCTGTGAGAATGTCTGTGCTCACCCAGAGTTTGGGCTCCATTTCCCCAAAGGATGTGTTCATCAATCCTTCCCTGCAGAGTGACATGAGGGCTCCTAGGTGCAGTCCCAAAGGTGCTGTGCTCATGCACAGACTTCTAGAGCTAGGAGAAGGTTTGTCAGAGCACTCCCATGGATGGAACAGACAGCTGGATCAGTGTCCTATACCATCAGCAGTGCTTTCCAGATGTTCACATTGACACCTGCCTTAATTGTGTGTGAGCAGGCAGAAAGCTGATGCAGGGAAGGGAGGGAGTGTGGCTGTGGCAGCTCTTTGCCCTCAGATCTCAGCTGCAAGTGATGGGTGGAGGAGCCACACACCAACCACTGCCAATCCTAAGTAGTCCAAATCCCAGAGCTGATTCTGGATCTCAGAGGTGATTCTCACATGGTCACTTATCCAGAGGGAGAGGATATACTGTTTCCCTGTACCTGTTTGCTCTGCAGCTTTCAAAGCCAAAGATCTGGACACTGGCCCAGTTTGAGCAGCCAAATGTCCCAACCAGCAAAAGAGAACTGCAGAGCCACAGCCTGGAGGGACCTGCTGACATGATGTTCACTGAGTGGTTTGGGTTGGAAGGGACCTCAGTGTTGGAGTACATGTTCCTCGGTGAGACATGTCCTTACTTGGAGAGGCTGCAGTGCCTAGATGTTATTTTAACAAACACAGGATCATTTTCAGTGCAAATTTTATTTACTGGCTTGCCCAGAGAAATCTGATACATATAAACCAGCTTACTCATCCCATTGGAGAACACAAACTTCATTCCTTGCAGAGGGACACACGTGCCTGGCTGCACGTCAAGGCTTTAGGAGCAAAACTCCTTTACAAAATACCCCGAGATCTTAGCCAATGTTTATTGCAGATTCTGTTTTTTTTAGCCACAGCATTATTTGTGAAGGGATTAGCCAAGAAGCACATAAACTACACAATTACATTTGTTTAGTCTGTAAATCTTCTCAGTAGTTTTCAAAAAGCAGTTCAACTGTTTGGTTAAGGAAAAACCATTACCCCCCCTGGGATCTCCTCTGGAGGTTTAACTCACACAGTTTCAGGGAGCAGAGAATGGAGTTCCAATAGGAGTTCTGCTGTAGATATGATGCTGCTTTGCTTTAGGGAGTGGAGCAATGAACATCTTGGCTGCCTGGTGCCTGCAAACTGTTAGCCACAGGGAAACCCACTGATTTCTGGTGGAGAAAACCCAGTTATTTAATGACTAATTAGTCATGTTGCCATTGCAAATAGAACTGAAGAACCATTGAGGTTTACACAATGCATCTCCCCTATTGGGATTTATGCTAGTGAACATTTCTTGTGGATTTCTGATTCTTTGAGTTGAGTAAGTGTTAAAGGAATCAGGATAGAAAATGAACATCCAACATGAATAATCAGTGGAATTTTCCACCTTCTGGTGTGGTTTTACAGTGCTTCTGCTTGTCACTGCATGCTCTGGTGCTCAGCAGCAGTGAACTAGATTCCCAGAGGGATTAATGAGCTGGAATCAGCACAGAGATGCCACTGGTGTTCACAGCTAACTGAGTAAGTGTTAAAGGAATCAGGATAGAAAATGAACATCCAACATGAATAATCAGTGGAATTTTCCACCTTCTGGTGTGGTTTTACAGTGCTTCTGCTTGTCACTGCATGCTCTGGTGCTCAGCAGCAGTGAACTAGATTCCCAGAGGGATTAATGAGCTGGAATCAGCACAGAGATGCCACTGGTGTTCACAGCTAACCCAGTGAGTCTCTGCACTTCTGGCAGGGACTGTCACCAGGCTTAGCAGTCACAGGACTCAGCAGCACCACAGAGCTTAAATCCTATCCCTGCTGGCACTGCCTGTGAGGCCAAACCTAGACCTCTTGCTCTTAACAGAAAAAAACCCCCAAACCAGCCAGGAGAGACATCTTCATGACCTTTCTGCCAAAAAAATAGAGAACTCAGGTGCAGGAGCATAAACTCCAATGACCACAATATTTTGGGATTAATATTTTTGGCCTATTGCCATGATGTAATTCAGATGCAGAGGATTATTTAAAAGTTACACTGACAAACACCATGTCCAAATTAACAGGGTTGGGGCAGCCACAGCCTCCCTGGGCAACCTGGGACAGTGTCTCACCACCAGAACAGGGAAAAACCCTTTTCCTCACATCCAGCCTAGACTTTCCCTCCTTCAGTTTGAACCCATTACCCCTTGTCCTGTCACTGCAGTTCCTAACACAGAGTCCCTCTCTGGCTCCTTGTAGGCCCTTCAGATATTGAAAAGTTGCTCTGAGGTCTCCACACAACCTTCTCTTCTCCAGGCTGAACAGCCCCAACTCCCTCAGCCTGTGCTCACAGGGAGATGCTCCTGTCCTCTTACCAACTTTGTGGCCCTCCAAACCTTTCAGGATTGCTAGAAAATGAACAGTAGGGTCAACATCCTATTGGTTAATGCTAAATATAATGAAGAATATTGAAGCTTTTGTGTGTGTGAGTCTCTTTTTAAGCTTTTGTCTCAGAAAAGCAGAAACATTTCTGGAGAAGTCTGAGTGTGCAAACTGGTGAGTGGTGTGAGTCGCGTCGATGTGGTTGGAGCACCTTTGTGGTTGTGAGGTGAAGATTGCCTGGGGACTGAGGGTATTTATTCTCCTATTCAGCACTTGTGTCACAGATATATTCAGACACATTTCCTGAAGCAATGGGAATAAACCTGCACTTCTGTGCCAATCTTTGGGGCTGAGCTGCAGCTCCTGAGCTGCTTCGGTCTGAGCTCGGGCAAATGGAGAGAATCATTTTGGGGTCGGTTTAAACCAAGTTGTGTCTCTAGAATTTTTTTAAAGTGTTTAATTAAATCAATTTCAAAGGGAAAACAGAAATTCAACATAGCTCTAACACTTCCTACAGCTGAACTTTAATCACTTAGTATGGAATTAATTGGTTACAAGCACCCAAATGAGATCTGTTTCTGGTCTCATTCACAAACCCAAACCAGCACAGGGATAATATCACAAACCCAGCTGCATTTTCAGTTTTGCCATGTTTAGAAGTAGCAGCAGTGGCAGGACAACAGCAAGAGTTGGGAAAATAAATAATTATGTCGTAGCAAAATGAGGATCAAACTGGGTTGTATAGTCTGTCCTTCAGCATCTGCACAGACTGGGCCGTGCACTGGCCAAGGCCCTGCACAAACACAAGGGACTGAGTTCTTCAGTCATAAATAACTGCAGGCAGCTAATTTCCTTCTGGAAAATTAAGCTGCACTATTCATACTTATGGCTCTAACACTAAGGTCATCCTTACACTTCAGGTATTTCCTGCACACTGATTTTTTTCCCCTCTCACTCTCTCTTTACAGGGTTTTTTGGTTGCAGTTCTGTATTGCTTTGCCAATGGAGAGGTAAGATATAGTGCTATGAGAAAATATACTTTACTAATGACCTAAAACCTTAATGACACCAAGAAGGATGAACTCACTAACCAGCTCTGCTTATCCAGAGCATGTAGCATTTTTTTTTGGATCTGGTCAAACTGTTTTGTGTGAAGAGAACAGCAAGAACTCTCACAGGTTTAGGGTTCAAATGCAAAGTATTTCCACTGAAGCCTGAGTGGTGACAGCACTGTGGAGGTGTGGATAGCCTGGGGTGTCTGAAATAGCTCTAGAGGCTTCTGATCACCCACCTAAACGTTCCTTTAATCAGCCTGGCCAGGTTGAACCATCTCTTCATTTAGCCCAGGGAAGTGACCCCATTTGGGGTGGTTTAATATCTTAGACAGGAACATGTTGAAAAAAGAATTTCATAGACTCACAGAATGGTTTGGGTTGGAAAGGGCCTCCAAAATCATCTCATTTCAACTCTCTCCTGCAGTACCCAGGGGCACTTTCTAATGCATGCACTGCTCAGGACATCCCTAAACCTGGGATGGAGCAGCCACAGCTTCTCTGGGCAACCTGTGCCTCACCAGCCTCACAATTTCCTCCTGACATCTAAATTAAAACTCTCCTTGTTTAGTTTTAACCATTCCCCCTTGTCCTATCAGTATCTGTGAATATAAAAACTTGCTCTCTCTCTGTTTTATTAGCCCCTTTAGGCACTGGAAGGGGCTTTAAGCTCTCCCAGAGCCTTCTCTTCTCCAGGCTGAACACCTCCAGCTCTCTCAGCCTGACTCACCACAAGCTTGAAAATGTCACTGTGTAGGCTGTGGAATTGATCTCACTTGATTTTAACCGTTTTTCAGTTGAATCTCACTGTCTGTACTGCCCTTATCTTTGCCCTGGGTGCAGACCATCACTGCTGGGAGTAAACAGACACATATCAGTGTCAGGATGCCACAGAGCCCAGCACAGACAGCTCAGGGACACACTGCACAGCCACAGGGCTCTGGACACCTTCCTGGAGGCACCAGGAACAGACAGGAGAGGGTTTGTCCTAATACCTAGCAAGGAAACCTGCAGTGATTCCAGCACTCCTTGACTCAAAAAGAGAGCTGGGAACTGGCACTTGTCTGCAGTAGTGTTTGATGTGTGAAGGGCACACAACTGCTAGCAGCTCTCAGCAGGTGAAAGTTGCTCTTTTGCCCTTCTTCTACCTCCTGGGGCAGCTGAGCTCTCAGGCCAGAAGTGCTGCTGGTTAGAGCCAGGGCCATTCCCACTCCTGCGAGGGGCTGGAGCCTCCTTCTCTCCAGGTGCAGTGCTGGCTCAGGGGGGGCAGGCAGTGGAACACTCAGTGCTGAGGATTTCAGTCAGGCTGCCAGATAAAGAGCTCTAAGAAAACAAACCAGCTACACAAGCACAACACTCCTGCAAAGCTGCATGGTCCTCATTTCCACAGCCCCTGAGCCTTCCTCCTCACTCCATCAGGCTGTAAACAGGGAAGTCACTCGAGCTCACCCACACACACCAGATTTGCAGAGGAAGAACTTGCCTAAATGAGAGTGAAGAGGGTAAACTCTTCAAAGTGACTTAGCAAACAAGTCTGTTCCTTCCCTACGAGGAGCCCCCAGGTGTGAGGTGAACCCCAAAGGGACAGGGAGCTCAGCACTTCACAGTTCCTCTCCCTTTACACCTACTACTTCTGTTGGTGAACTCCAAGGTGATCCCAAGCCATGACTGCCTGTTCTCTCCTCCCCTCAGGTGAAAGCAGAGCTGCAGAAGCAGTGGTCCCGTTTCCTGCTGGCAGATCCCTTGGGCTGCAAACTTTGCTTTCTTGGGGAAAACATCAAATACCTCAGGAAATGCTCCCAGAAACGAAAGAAACAGCAGCTCAGCAGCAAACACCACTTGTGCCTGGAGGTGAGCAAGCCCTGGGGCATGCAGCTGCAGCAGGTGCTGGTGAGGCAGAGGACAGAGCTCAGCCCAGAGCCAGGCTGTGCCCGCCAGACCCGACCCCAGACCAGCATGTCAGACAGCAGCGAGGGAGATGTCACCACCGGAGAGACAACCGAGGAAGTCTTTGAGGAGAGTGAGATTTAGGGAGTTGTCCAGTGGGACAGCACCTTCCAACAGCCTTGTGAAGGATCTGGCAGCTCCAGAGGGAACAGAGCTCTGGGATGTGCAATGCCAGGAGGACACAACAGCACAGAGGTTCCAGTTTTCTTAAGCTGAGAAAAAGGTTATGTGGATGTTGCTAACCTGTGTGGTTGGGAAGAAGAGATCTTCTGGATCAAAAAGTGCTTTGAGCTGACCATCTGGTAGCTGAGGGTGAGAGGGATGTACACAGGGAAGCAAAATGTACTCTGGAAATATGTAGGCTCTGGACACACACTGAGTCCCAGAAGCTTCATCCATGCCAGACTGTCCTTCCACTCACAACAGGTTGTTAGTTTTCCTTTTCCATAGGAATGTTGCATGAATAAAGACTGGGGAAGACTCCTCTTCACAGCCTGAAGTCATCCCCCATCTCAACCCCAATTTCAGACCAAACCAGACACACTTTGTTCCAACAAAATGACAGGAAATATATACATATATATGTTGCAAAATTCAGGAAAACAAACTTGGGAAGAACCAAACTTTTGCTTTCATTTTTGAGCATCTTCACTTAAAGTTTAATGCTGGAAATGTCATGACAAAATGAAAGACCAAAATGCCTCCATGGCAAGTGCCAAATGCCATTCTGATACAATTTTTCTAAGCTTATTTTTCTCCTGTCCTTTTCTTTTTTTTTTTTTGACATGAGCCACACATTTTGACGTGTCTTCTGGTTTGCCCTACCTGTGTCCTTAGTGACACAGCAGCTCAGTGGTAAGTGCTGCTTCCACCTTCCTCCCAGGGCACCCAGAATGGATAATGAATGATGTGGGATTTGTTACAGCACCAAAAGTGTGTTGTGAACTCCTTCCAGCAGTTAATGAGAGCCATGACGAAGTTTTCATGCTCACATAGAACTCACCCAGAGGCCTATGAAATTCAGTGCAGTTTGTTAATATGATCCAGTTTCCAAAGGTGTGAACATGAGCCAATTGGCATAGTGAAAGGACTAAAGGCAGCAGGAAGGTTAGCAGGGAATATTTATCCACAATAGAAGTGTCTACCCGGGTCAGATGTGTTCCCTCTCCACCTGCAGCTACTGGCACAGCACAGTTACTCATTTCCCCTGCACTTTACTGGCAGCATTCTCTTTTCAACTAGATGCCTGAAGATGTAGTAAAACATATGCTGGATAACTGGCTCCAGGGTGGGATTGGACCAGGTGACCTCCAGAAGGTCTAGTGGAAGGTGTTCCCCATGGCAGGAGGTAGAACAAGATGATCTTTAAGGTCCAACCCAACCCAGCGTGAGAGTCTATGATGGTGCCTCACCATCCTCACAGGTTGCCCAGAGAAGCTGTGGTTGCTCCATCCCTGGAAGTGTTCAAGGCCATGGACCTTCCACTAGACCAGGATGCTCCAAGCCCCATCCAGCTCAACCAGGATGTGTTTCACTGAAAACATTGCACATAAAACAACTGATTTTCAGGGCTCCTTGTGGCTCTAGTCATGCACCTTGTCCCCAGGCTGTGCCTGCCGTGTTGGCTGTCCCTGATCCCCATGGAGTGGCTTTGTCCCTGGGCCCTGTTGCCATTTTGCATCCACAGAGGACACTGTTTGGAGACAGGTTGCCTCTCTCTTCAACATGTTGTTTGAATTTATGCAGCTTATATAACCTCCCAATGCTTTCAAAGCTCTTTATCAGACTACAAAAGTTTAGCCATGTAAACTTGGGCAAAGACCAGATCCATTCCTTGACTAGCACTAGCTCAAAAACTTCTCTGAGCAATCACATTTCTGGTACTTTTCAAAGAGTATTTCTTTTATAATTCTATCTGTGTAAACCTATTTAATCAATACCAAATTTGGTAGTTGCTATTCGATGTAAATTACTTAGCAATTTGTATAGTTCAGTCAACTAGTAATAAAATGTAAATATTTGATCAACTCTCAACTACATCTGCAGTTTTAAAAGGCTTCTCACTGTGATGTGCATTCTGCTTCTGGAGCATTTTCCTGCTGTGGATTTCTCCAGCACCCAGTGGAAACACCAGACACCACTCACACTCTGTGTCTCCTCGGATTTCTCCTCTAGAGCTATTGTTCAAGAAATTAAAGAGCTTGAAGTGGTTTAGAATGTGCTTTACTTGGGTGCCAAAAATATGCAAATGGTAAGATTTTATTGCCTCTCAGTGAAACAGTTGACTTTTTAATTGTGTTTGAAAGTGTTTCAGCTGGTCAAGAAAGCATTTTTTTTGTGCTCTCAGCAGTGCCTGGAGCTCTATTTTCTCCTCTCTGTTATGTGTTTGGGCTTTTTGCCTCTTTCAGTTTATAAAAATCAACTCTGGTTATATAAGCAGGGCCTGGAGGGCTGATAAAAACAATCTTCACATGGATTCCTTCAGGAATGAGGAGATAAATCAGCGAGATTTCCTCATAAGAATATAGCATTATTTATTGTATCACTCGAGTCTAGAAGCTGTGAAATCTGGATGGTCACACACACGAGGTCTCTTTACAGAGTCACTGCAAGCTCCTCAGCTCTGAATAAACTACTGAGCATCCCTAGAAGGCAGCAGAAAACTCCACAATTCAAACATGTGTGTAGAGTCAGTGGAAGAGCTGGGAAAAGAGTGGTGGGAATAGCTGAGTGTCCTCCTGGGGAGCTGAGGGTCTGTAGCAAGGTTTCCTCCTGGGATTTTCCTTCCACCCTTTAGGGAAGGGTGTAAGGTCCTCAGGAGGGATGTGACAGCCCAAGGAGCTGATAAAAGCAGCAGGTCCTTGGGGTGTGCCAGGAGCCACAAGACTTGCCAGGAATGCTACAAGTGCATGGACTGGGCAGACAGAAACAGCTGGAAGATGGGACAAGAAATAGGATCTTGCCCTGACAAAACAAGAGGTGGAGAAGGCAAAAATTACCTAAATTGGTGTTTGTTTGCAAGTGATATTTTATGTAAATCACTTATCCAATTCCCACATAGACTAATTATCAGACAACAGCAGCTAACATTCCCCCAGGGGTTTATGCTTGTGCAGACCTGGTATAATAGGATTTTTGTCTTTAGCAATTGCTCATTTTTATGCCCCAGATTTCCACTGCCTTGGGGGAAAGCTTGGTGTGAGGTGAGGGCTTCTTCCCTCTTGGTGAGAGAGCACATCTTAGAATCATAGAACGAATCCTCAAGGCTGGAGGAGATCTCTAAGATCATCGAGTCCAACCATTAACCTGTCACTGCTGGAACCCCTAAACCCTAAACCAGATCCTCCAGTGCCACATCCAGACACCTCTGAAACACCTCCAGGGATGGTGACTCCACCACCTCCCTGGGCAATATCCCAGTGCCTGAACACCCTCACAGGGAAAACATTTCCCTACCATCTCCTCTTACTCTGCCCTGGCTCAGCTCAAGGCCATTCCCTCTCTCCTCTCCCTGCAGCCCTGGCAGGACACACATCCCCCACCTCTCTCCAGCCCTGGCAGGGAGTTGCAGAGAGCCATGAGGTGACCCCTGAGCCTCTTCTCCAGGCTAACCAAGCCCAACTCCCTCAGCCCTTGCCCATGTGCTCTGCCCTTTGCTGAGCCCAGTCCTGTCGAGTTTGGGCTCTGCTGACTCAGTCCATTGTCTGGAGCTCTGACAGTCTGAAGTCAGACAAGGTGGACTATCAATGCTTAGGACATCAGAGACAACCCATGACAAAACCCAGCTCCCAGAGCTTTGCAGCTGTCTTTGCCAAGGATTTTGCTTTCCATCCAAACTTGCATGACAAAAGAACTCTGAATTT